GCAACATTAGATATGTTAGTGATTTTCTTCAGTAGCAATTTGGTAAATCTGAGATAACTTACTAGTTTGAATACTGTCCCTCTTAGCTGGTAGAAATTTCGTACCAAAGTATTGGGATTACCTACAGAAGATAAAATTACATATTCACAAAATATATATAAAGATACAGATGCTATCTATACCATTTTGTTAGGACAATAGAAAAAAATGTGAAATTAAGTATTGGTTAAGCATCACAGTTCAAATGGTGAGCTTATTTTGAGTTTACCTAAACTTTGAGTTATCACATATTGCATGTGACTTAGAAAGAAAAATATAAAGATATTATGTTAAAAAGGTATGTACTATCCTTACAATCAAGGTATTCAAAAATTATATAGCTTTCTGTGTTGGTATTCTTTCATGTGTTCTTACCGTTTATTCTTTTTATCAAATTTCCAGTCTGAAATCCACTTAGAAAGAGAGCACATTTGAAAAGACTATTAATATGACATCTATAAAATTGGCTTGTCTTGGAAATCTGTATGAATTTGCTTCTGTACTTTTTGTTGTAGGTCTTATAATTTAACATACCTATCAAGCATTCAGTGCTATATATAAAACATGCAAAAACTCTTAGCAGAAATGATTCATTAGCCATTTATGTATCTTCTATGTATCAGACCATTGTGATGCCAAGACTCAGCCATATGAGCCAGCAAGACAAAAAGGTTCCTGTTTTCATGGAATATGTGAGGTCAAGTAGGGTAGACATGAAACAGTTACCTCTTTTAATTAAAATCCTGTTTTTCTTTGGCTTCTTGTGCAGGGTCTCGTGCAGACCAGTCTGATTTTGAAATGACTGTAGATGAGGCTGGCTTTGAACTTCTGATTCTTTTGCTCCTACCTCTCAAATGCTGGGATGATAAGTATATACCTGGCTAAACCTATTTAATTTCTCCCTCTCCTCTCCTCCTCACCTCGACTCTCTCTTCCTCTTCTTCCTCCTCCTCTTCCTCTTCTTCCTCCTCTTCCTCCTCTTCTTCCTTCTCTTCTTCCCCTTCCTCCTTCTCCCCGCCCCCCTCTCCCCGTCTCTGTCTCTCTGTCTCTTTCTTTTTTTAAAATTCTGGGTTTTGAGATGGGGTCATATTCTAGCCCAAGCTAGTCTAGAACTTACCACATAGCCCAGGATGGCCTTGGGCCTCAGCCCAGCCACCATCTATGGTAAGTATAGGTAGTCACAGTTGCCAAGACATCCTGACATGGACAACAACTAGCACTGAGACTGAAATGGTCTGGAAAGACTTTGAAGAGAAAATAACTGGTTAAGCTGGGTCCCAGGGAGGCAGGTGGATAGGCTGGGGAGGTGGGAAAAGCGATGCAGGTAACAGGGTGCTGTGAGCAGGTGAGGGAGGGAGGAGGCATGAGGAGAACTGGGTCAGGCTCTCCTGTGCTGCTCCTCCCTGTGCCTCTCACCTTGCGTCGAGCCCCTTGTGCCCTCTGCACTGCTCCTGTTGCTAGGGCTGCTTTTGCTGACTTTCGAGTCTACAGAACATCACCCTTTTGCATATCTGATAGTTTCCCAGTCTCTTCTGTTTCACCTCACAGCATACATACACATAAGTGTATGTATGTATGTATGTATGTATGTATGTATGTATGTATGTATAAGGAGTTGCTTCCTTCAGTGTTCATTGGTCATAGGTGTACCTCACGGTCCTAGCCCAGGCTCTAACACAGAGTAGTCAAAGTTACTAGTTAAGTCAAATCAAAAAAAAAAAAAAATTAGTCAGTTACTATAAAAAAATTATTGATCTTTATATAGAAAACCAGACATGTAAGATCTTGAGGGCTCTTTTTATAACACTATCATGTTGAGATAGCAACTCTGTGGTATGAATGAAACTAGACTAGTGTCATGACCTGATTGCCAATTAAAATGCCCCCCTGGTGGTTGCTTTCCCAGCTCCCTGGTTGTCCTTCCCTCCCCCATCATTTTCATGCGGTATGGCTGTGTAACAAGGTTTACTAAATTCCTGGAGGACAGCACTAATATCCCGTGTCTCAGGGTTGATCGGCTCGGGATGGAGTTTCCACTGGTAAGAAATTTCCAACAGATACAAGTGTCGTGCCTTAGCACAATACAGTTTGTTCTGATGTTTAGGTCCTGAGACAGGGTCTTCTGGGTAGTTCTAGGACAGCTTGAATTCAAAATAACCCTTGTGAGCTTGGGGACTGTAAGTATGTGTCTCTACTCAGTCCTACAGGTTTTTCCTTCAAATTCTAATATTTTCGATGATGACAAGCACAAGATACTTCTAACCTACAGAGAACCACTATGCATCTTTTCAAAATAGAATTAAGAACAGTATTTATAATTTTAATATTTGTAGTTAACAGAATTATGAAGCTGTGCCGGGCAGTGGTGGCGCACACCTTTAATCCCAGCACTTGGGAGACGGAGGCAGGCGGATTTCTGAGTTCGAGGCCAGCCTGGTCTACAGAGTGAGTTCCAGGACAGCCAGGGCTACACAGAGAAACTCTATCTCAAAAAACCAAAAAAAAAGAATTATGAAGTTCAGTTTGTACTCTGTATCATGCTAAATTCATCTTGCAACGCTCTGTTGTGTAACTTAAGGACCATTATGTATATAATAAATGAGTGTATGTGTAAGTAATGGGCTTTCTTCTTAAATTACACCTAACAAGATAATCTAAGAGTCTTATCTGTGAAGAGTTGCCAGAGGGAAGCTGCTGAGATTGTCTCAGCAGGTAAAGGTGCTTGTCACTAAGCCTGATCTGAGTTCCATGCCTTGTAGCCCACATGTGAAGGGAGAGAGAAGCTACTCTCCGGCGTTGACCTCCATACACAGTAAATGAATAATAAACATGATTCATTTTTAAGTTGCCAGAGTAAACATAAAAAAAGAGATAACTCTGTTAAATTTTAATGTCAGACAAATCCTTACCTAATTTATATAAAAAAAATCCATGCAAAACCCATGCTACTATTGAAAACATTATTTTATCTGTATTTAATCAGTAAACTGTCTTGTTCTGCTTCTCCATGTCACTGTCCTCCAGGAGGCCTTTTTATGGTTTCTTGTGGACATAAGCAGATTGCTGAAGTTTGTCTTGGTTTCCAAGGATGAATCAGTATGGTAAACCACATCTGCTTTTTATAAGTAACACTGTTCTGGAGATGGGCCCTGTCTTTGATATAGTTGTTACATTGTGAGAGCGAGCTTTAAGTATACTCAGGTTCTTCTGGGCAGATGTGGGACTCCCTCTCAGTACCCTGTTAACCTCTGTTAACCACCTTCATCCCTTGCCAAAGCCACTCTGCAATAAAACATACATTTCTCAGAAGCAAGTCTTTGTGAATGAGCTAAGCTATTATTGTTATATATACATGTCTCTTCATGCAGCCACATTTTTGGGTGTAGGGGTGAATACCTAGTATACTCTCAGGTCATCTGACATTCTTGCCACCAGCCAGTGTACAGGGGGCTCCCATTGCACGGCACCCTCACCTCACCGTGGATTGTCAGAGTAAGGGATTGGGGATTGTACTTGTTGGTTTTGCCATTCTGATAATAGCAGTGTGCTGTGCCTTTAATGTGCATTTCCATCATCCTCATCCTCATCATCGTCATAGTGTAGTGACATCATGTGTGAGGTGTTTGTGGCAAGCACCCTCCCATGTTGGAAACTCCTTTATACTGCTGATGCCAGTATAAACTAATGCATCAGTTTTGGTTTGAATGTATCTAGTGAAGAGGAAAAAACACCATGTCCCCTAAGAAAAACTGTGTGCTCGGGATTCACAGACTATCTGCAAATTCTAATGATGTGCCCATCTTCAGACATACCAGAAGAGAGCATCTGGATCCTGTTACAGATGGTTGTGTGCCACCGTGTGGTTCCTGGGGATTGATCTCAGGACCTCTCGAGGAACTAATGGGCATTTGAGAGATTCCCTTGAGGATAACAGTGTGGCTTAGTGGCATGCACAAGACTCTAGGGTCCAGTCACTAGCACTGAAAATAAAAAGGTTCACTGTTTTTGATCAGTACAGGACCATTAGAGTATGCAAACAGCTTGTGATCTCCTTGAGAACACCATTAGAATTTAAAATAGTCTATGAATCCTGATTTTATATATATAAAATATATCAATCACAGGCATATATATGTATATACACACACATACACACACACACACACACACACACACATATATATATATATATATACACATTGTATATATATGTATATATATATGAGAGAAAAAATGAAAACCAAATTTAAAGTTTTCTCTAAAGCAAACAGGAAGGAGAAGCAGGTACAGGGCACTTGGCCACCCCTCAGCACGCACGCGCGCGCGCACACACACACGCACAACTAAATCAGTATGGTAAGCCAAATGCAGATGGTACAGTGCATATGTTCACAGCCAAGACTAATGTTGAAGTCAATCTCCCATGAAGTATTAGCAGGTGGCACCAAAGCTGCGTGTGTTCGTTATGTAAGCCTGTAAACCCAGTGCTCAGGACACTGACCAAGTGGAATCTTTCCATGTGACTGGGTCTGCGTAATCCACAAGTCAATCCATTCATGGATTAAGGTTTTTGTTTTTAAAGTAAGTCTTATAAAGGCTGGCCTAAAGCATGCATCCTGGTAGGTGCACACCCCTACCCCTCCCTTATCCGCTCCTCCATTCCTCTCTATCCCCTCTCCCTCCACTGCCACCACTACTCAGGCTGTTTCTTGTATGCGCCTTCTGTCACCTCAGTAATATCACCTGAGCACTCCCCTTCTCATATAAGATACTCACTAGATAAAACCTTACCCTCTCTAGTATTCAGTTATAACAGTTGAGCATAGACATAAAGCAACTGTTGACGTACATTTAACAATTTAACTCCCAAGCTGGAGAGATGGCTCAGTGGTTAAGAGCACTAACTGCACTTCCAGAGGTCCTGAGTTCAAATCCCAGCAACTACATGGTGGCTTACAACCATCTGTAATGAGATCTGATGCCCTCTTCTGGTGTGTCTGAAGACAGCTACAGTGTATCCATATATAATAAATAAATAAATCTTTAAAAAAAAAACAATTTAACTCACCAGTGAAATGGTTGACAGTGAGATCAAAGTCTCCTGTGGGAGCAAGTGCAGCCAGCGAGTCAAGGTCCACATCCGGTAGCTCAGAGGTAGAGTGCTTTCCTGACATACACAGTACCTTGGTGGAGAGACACACCATACTACCTTAGTTCTGTGAAATTGTTGCTATTTTGTTTTGAAATAGGAGAAAACGGCTTCTAAGTTGTTGAGATAGTAATAAATGACAGAACTGGGGCCATGTTCGTTTCTGCTGACTTTGTATTTGTTTCCAGTGGCTAGCGTTCTCTTTTAGTTTTTTTTGAAACAGGATCTCTGTACATAGCTCTGGCTGTCCTGAAACTCACTATGGAGACCAGGCCTGGTCTCAAACTGACAGAGATTCTTCTGCCTCTGCCTCCCATCATTCTTAGCAAGCATCCTTGTGTTCCTAGGCCAGCATCCTGGATTCATCAGAACATTGGCAGACTCAGCTTTTGAGAACCAGGAAGTATTACCCGTGCTATCTTTAGGTGGTAGTTTGGCTCATTGCTAGGGGGTTGTTGGCTTTGTTTTCTTTTCTGTATGTGTGTAGTGTATACACATGTCTATGCAGGTATGTCTGCATATGTGTACAGAGGCCAGAGTTGTCTTGGATCCTGCTCTATCTGCCTTATTCCTTTGAGACCTATTTGGTCTTTCACTGAGCCTGATCCTAGCTAGGCTGGCAGTCAGCAAGCCCCAGCAGTCATTCCTGACTTCAGCTCCTACACGTGCTACTGATGTACACTGCCATGTTCAGCTTTATGTGGGTGCTGGGATCCAAACTCAGGTCCTTACATTTGCACAGTAAGGATTCTTACCTACTGAGCCATTTCTAGCTGTCTTTCTTTTTTTTGAGACAGGTCTTGGCTGTGTAATCCTGTAGGCTTAGACTCAAAGTTCTTCCACCTTATACCCTAAGTACTAGGAATTCAAGCATGAATCACCAGGCACGGCCAATTTTTATTTGTTAATCTCTTGTTACTACCGACTCCTTATTTTTCCTTTTAAACTCTCCCATGCTAAAACAAGCTGACACCAAAACTGTTGGTTGAATTAAGCTGGGCAGTGGTGGCACACGCCTTTAATCCCAGCACTTGGGAGGCAGAGACAGGTGGATTTCTGAGTTCGAGGCCAGCCTGGTCTACAGAGTAAGTTCCAGGACAGCTAGGGCTATACAGAGAAACCCTGTCTCGAAAAACAAAACAAAAAAAACCTGTTGGTTGAAGGGGTAAAGTTTAGACAGTCTAAGAAGGCCACACCTCCTAATTGTGCTACTTCCAGTGGGCCAAACATATTCAAACCACTGTAGCCACCATTGTCCCACCTTGGGTTATAGCTAATCTTACTAAAATATTGGTGTAAAAGACAAGGAAACTGCTGATGTCTACAATAGTCTGATAATAAAAGGATTTATTCACAGAAATGTGTACCTTTTTTTCCTAGCAGCATCTTGTCTAACATATCAACACAGTGCTTTTTGTGTGTCATAGCAGAGTCGTGGTTTAACAGAATGGACAATACTAGACTGCAAAAATAAAGCAGTGAGGAACAGCCTGCCCTCCCACCTGAGGCCATGGCGAGGTTTTGGTGAGTGTTGCACACCTCCACCCCACCCTACCTCCCCCCTACACACACACACACCATGTCTGGGTCAGGGCACTGGAGCCTGGCATGTGATAGTGGAAGGGACTGGAGACTGTGTTGTGTGTGGTTGAAGTTGCCTCAGAAGCAATGGGGAAGCTCTGTGGTCTGAGCTGCTGCCTGGGGCCATGTTGATGTTCTAGGGTTGGGAAGAGCTGGCTCTACCCTTCACAGGCTGCCCACCCCAGGAATGGGAAAGCTGGCAAGGTGACCAGCTCAGCAACCATCCAGGCCCAGATCTGGATCTACCTCATCCTATGAACTGCTGGAGCTTGTGAAGGGGCTGGTCCTACAAATCCAAAGCTGCAGGATCTTCATGACACAGGGTAACAACAGGATATCCCAGAGGAGTCCCAGTGAGGATCCAGTATTGATGTTGTAGCAGAAGCCAGAGGCCTCAAACCAGACCAATAGCTCATTGCAGTGAACACTTGCAAGTAAAGCTATTTGGACAAACCGTGGGACACACTGCAGCTTCTACAGTGAGTTTATCATTTTTAAAATTTTCTTTTGACGTTTATATTTTGTTTTCCTTTGAGTGGCAAGGCTGTAAGGGCAGAGGGCAGATACAGAGAGATAGGGAAATGAGTGGGCTTGAGGTGCATGATGTGAAATTCACAAAGAATCGTTTAAAAAATTAGCATTACCTAGATATTTGGGGATGTCAATGAACATGATAAACTTCTGGTTAGATGACTCAAGAACTAGAGCAGTGGTCCCTGTCCTTCCTGATGTTTCAACCCTTAAATACAGTTCCTCACATTGTGATGACCCCCCAACTATAAAATTATTTTCATTGTTTCTTCATAACTAATTTTGCTACTGCCATCAATCATAATGTAAATATTTTGTATTTTCCAGTGCTACCCACAGGCTGAGAACCGCTGAGCTGGAGGAAGACACAAATTACCAATATCAGGACTGGAGGAGGATGTGGGTATTATCACTGCTCTTGGTTTTAGTAGCCATTTCAAGTTGTACATGATGTCAGAGCTTACCTGGTTGTATACTTTAAATATATGAAATTTATTGTGTATCAGCCATTTTGTTAGAGCTGTTTAAGAGTCAGTTATTTAATGTAGAACTATACTTTGGTTGAGTGGTAACAGTCACAAAATTACAGTTACAATGTAACAAGGAAAATAATTTTGTGGTTGGGGTATTAAAGGGTCGCAGCATTAGGACAGTTGATACAATCTTGGTTTGAAAATGTCCAGAGCTTCATAGGGATTTTGCTCATCAAATTAACAGGAGTGGTGTCTGTATCTGAGATGAAATCTCTCTGTGTTTACCCCAGAGACTTGCCTGAATTTTTTTGACCATTTTCTTTATGATCTATGGTCATTTTAACGTAAGTGATGCTGTTTATATCTCGTTTCTTTGGTAGTTGTCCCTCTTTTTTCTGCCACTGTTCCCTTTACAGTTGAACACATGTCCCTGGCCCCAGTCCTCTTACACTAGAGACTCACCCTGGAGATCAGTGAAAGTGAAGGACCACAATATATTGTAGGAGAGCTGGGTAGAAGTTGCAGTCAGCCTTAACAAGCACTCAAATCAAAAGCCAGTCCCAGGGGCTGGGGAAGTGCCTCAGTAGGTAAAGTGCTTTGCTGTGGAACCACGAGGGCCTGCGTTTGGAACCCTCAGATTCACTACCACCCACTCCTGCCACAGTAAGCAACACAAAAGCTGAGACCCCCTCAGATGGAAGGAAGCTGAACTGCAAAGAAGACTCTGAGACCAGACCACTTGCCTGGAAGTTCAGACCAACTGAGTCACCTGGAAATGTCACTCCCACCGGGTGAGCTGCCTGCAGGCTGTGCAGTGCTTCTGGCCCCAGCTGTGTGAGCTGTAACCCATGCTGGGGCGGGCTTTGGTGATGCAGATGTCTCTGAGTCTTTCCTGCTCTTTTAAGCACCTCACCCCTACTCCTGTAACTCCAATAAACACTCATTGGTTCACCTAGTTGGATTTTGGTGGTATCTGTACTTTGGTTGGTTGTAGCATTTCTACCTGAGGTGAGGAAATGTGTGTGTTGTCTCTCCAGGAAAAATGTTGTCACACAACAGTCCCAGATACAACAGACTGATGATGTCCTGTAATTACAGCCTTGTTTGTTTGTTTTTATAATAAACTTTGCAACTAGAAGACTTAAGTTGTTATCATAGGAAGAACATGTGCTACTCACGAAGGCAGTCTAACTTTCACTACATCTAGTCCAGGGGCTTGGGCTGCTTCTTAATCTTACTGGTATTCAGAGCAGTTAGGGTGCCTTGCTATGACAATAATGGTAGTAGTGAATTAGCAAGTACGGTTGAATAATCCACAACAAAAATTATTTAAGGACTTTGGAACCGAGGCAGGAGGATGGAGAGTTCCAGGCCACCGTGAGCTACATGGACACTGTTGAAAAATTAAAACAGGCCTAGAAGAGATGGCTCAGTAGTTAGAGCATTTATTGCTCTTGTAGAGGACAAGGATTTACCAGTGTCCACGTGGTAGTTCACAATTGTCAGTAACTCCAGTTCCAGGGTATCAGACACCCTCTTGACTTCTGCATGTCCATGGCACACATATATATATACAGGCAAACACCCATACATATAAGTTACAAACAAACAAATTTAAACTGGGTGCTGTGGCACACACCTTTAATCCCAGCACTGAGGAGGCAGAGGCTAGGCCAGCCTGGTCTACAGAGCAAGTTCCAGGACAGCTCCTGCTACAGAGAAACCCTGTCTCTAAAAAACAACAAAACAAACAAAATTTAGCTTTTTAATGTGTTTTTGGATTATGGTCTTTGAGACAAAATCTATTCTTTTGTTGTGTTTGCTGAATAAAGCAAGCATAAAGGGAAAAGCACCAGCAAAATAACTTTATTTGCTTTTCTCCTATACCATTACTTCTTCAGAATCTTTTTCCTCTCCTGAGTTATGGTGGGTGGGGAATTCGGATTGCGAGTCCTCCTGGGACCCAGAAGAGCAGGCTGGTTAGCACTGACCAGGGCTAGGCGATAACTTAGGGCCAAGGGAAACCCAGGCGACCCAAGGACGCTGCATGCCCTGGCCACAGGAAATGGTCTTGTCTGGCTGGAGAAGGCTCAGAATTCCGAGTCCTGCAGTCCTGGGTTCTGGACCCGGGGTTTGCTCACGCGTGGCCGGCCCGTGCCCAACGCTCGCTGTGCAGCCCGGATGCCCAGTGTCCGCCTTGGCGTTGGTCTCCTGGCGACCTTGGCAGCGGGCGGCGCCATCGTCCTGCTCGGCTACTGCGTCTACGTGGACTGGAGGCAGCACCGAGAACTCATATTCCGCCGCCGCCTGCGGGACAGTGAGTGCCAGCGCGGCCGGCGGGAGGGAGGGCAGCCGGGCCGGTTCCCAAGCGGGCGCCCCCTACACCCCAGTCCGTGCTACCTGGCTCTCCCAGACAGTTCGTGCCTGTGTTTGCAGAGAGAAGAGCTGGACAGCCGAACGCCCAGGCGTCTGCCAGGCAGGTGAAGTGCAGCAGACCCACCAAGGAGCCTTCTAGAAGCCCAGGGAGAAGAGGCCTGCCAGTGCAGCACACCTGCTTTATAAAGTTTTAACCTTCTAATTACAAAGGGGAAGGAAAGAAAGGAAAAGTGGGCCTGATAAGGACACAGTATGAAGTCTGGTGGGATAGCTCAGCAGCTAAGAAGATTGGCTGCTCTTCCAGAGGACTCAGGTTTGATTCCCAGCACCCACATGGTAGCTCACAACTGTCTCTCTAACCTAAAGGGATCTGTCGCCCTCTTCTGTCCTCCAGGAAGCTACAGGGATGCACATGGTTGCAGACAGACATACTGACAAAACACCTATATGCATTTTTTTTTAAATGTCTTATTTATGTTTTATTTTTATGTATAAACAGGTCTTGGAGGATGAGACAGGAGGGAGTTCAAGGTTAGCCTGGACCAAACGAAACACTATTAGAAAGAGAAGGGTATCTCTAAAGTAAATTTTGTAGAGACAGGCACTTTTTTTTTCTTATAAGAAAGAAGAGAAACTTGGACTTCCCATATATCCTCACAGGATACCTAGGTCCCCAGGCCAGCCAACATAGAATATGGTTGACTAGTTGGGTTTTTATGGTTATTATTATTATTTTTTAGAGAGAGAAGGAAGATGGCCCATATGTGGTAGAAGACAACTTGAGAGGGTTCATTCAATCCTGTCGCTGGTCCCATGTGTCTAACTCAGGTGGTCAGGTTTGCTGGAAAGTGTTTTTTAATCTGCTGAACCATACACTGTCCATACTAGTCACACTTAAAAACTGCCTCTTATTCTAATGTGAATGGATGTTTTTCCTCCCACATACGTCTATACATGGTACCATTTTGGGGTCAGAAGAGAGCATCTGATACCCTGGGACTGAAGTTAAGAAGGTTATGAGCAGCAGGGCAGTGGTGGTGCACGCCTTTAATCCCAGCACTTGGGAGGCAGAGGCAGGCGGATTTCTGAGTCTACAGAGTGAGTTCCAGGACAGCCAAGGCTGTTCAGAAAAACCCTGTCTCGAAAACAAAAACAAAAACAAACAAACAAAAGGTTGTGAGCTGGTATATGGATACCGGAAATTGACCCTTGGTCCTCAGGAAGGGCAGCCAGTGTTTTTGACCACCAAGTCACCTCTTCAGCCCCCTCCCTTATTATTTTTAAAGAGAATTCGGTCATCTTGGTTATTGGTCCAGCTTTTGTTAACTCACATGAGGTCAGAAGTGCAAGAGAATTCTTACCTTTCCATCTTTCAGGTGACCAGCCTGTGCCTACTTAAGGTCCTATTATGTGTGGGGCACTAAGGTAGGAATGACAGAGAGCAGCAATAACAGAGTAAGAATAACCCAAAGCCAGACCGGGAACAAGGCCGACAAATGTAACGAGAGTCTGGAGAAAGACAGAACCGTTTCAATGTGGAACTGGCACAGCAGCTCCTCAGTTTACTTATTGTTTGGTTAAGCTTGCTATCCTTCATACTGGGCTCCTGAATCTGCAGTTTGAGCAGGTTTGGGTGGGGAATAACACTGTTGCTCTACCCAGCCTCAGCGAGGCTGGCTCCAGAGTGATATGTTGAGTTGGTTATCTGGAAGCATATCCCCCCATGTTTGGCAGTTGATGCTGGGTGTTCACTTAGTTGAAACTGTTGGCATGCACCTGCATGTTACCTTGTCATATAGTTTGTGGGTCTCATCATATGCTGGGTTGGGTTCCCAGGGGTAAGCAGGCAGGTCTGGATACTGACTATATATGCAATGAACACCGGAAGAGGACAACAGTGTTGGAGCGCATGCAGAGATGGAAACATACCAGGAAGCAGCTCTTCCCACAGCACTGAGGGCTGCTCGATTCCAAGCAGAGAGAAAATAGACTCCAACTCCAAATAGACAGGGCTCTGAAAACATGTTTACACAGGGAATATTGCCATTGAGTGTTTTGAAAAATCCAATTTTTCTACATGAGGCTTTGGGGCTGTCCTTGATCTGAAGCAGGGATGTTATGGAAGGTGAGGAATGGCGTCAGGGAAAACTTTAGGACTGAAGGCGCTGCACAGGCACAGGGGAGCAAATCAGGGCTATGCCGGGCCGATCCGTAAGTCTGTGGGCAAGGGTATCACTGTAAAGAAGTGTCTGATAAAGCTAAGGAAAGAGAATCAGGGGAGGCTTGGTCTGATGGCTGGGCTACTGGATTTAGAAAGAAATCAGTGGATTTCTGAGCAGGAAAAAAAAATTTTTAAAGAAAAGGGCGCTGGGCAGTGGTGGTGCATGCCTTTACTCCCAGCACTTGGGAGGCAGAGGCAGGCAGATTTCTGAGTTCAAGGCCAGCCTGGTCTAGAGAGTGAGTTTCAGGACAGCCAGGGCTATACAGAGAAACCCTGTCTCCAAAAAAGGGGGGGGGGGGACAGAAAGAAACAAACCTCTTAAGCATAGGTGTGCTAGAAGGATTAGAAAAGAGAGTAAGTTACTGCAGCACCATGGGTGAGCAGCAATAAAAAAAAATCACATTTTCTCATGGTGTCAGCGGTGAGTAAACTGGAAAGAGCAGAAGCAACTGACCTGGGATGAACTGAGTTCCAGCTGATGCTAACTGGTGAGAGGACCATGGGAAGGAAAGAAGGGAAGTCAGAAAGACTGTCCACGGAGTTAAGGAAGCCGTTAGGCAGCACTCAAGGTGTGAGGCATGTGCGTACAGATGCCTTTGCTGGCCAGCTTGTCGTGGGCAGTCTGGCACAGCAGCTCCTCCCCTCTTCTGCATCCTGAATGACTGTTGCTCTTGAACATTTTTTGGTGTGTGACTATTTGATTAATGTTTCCGACTTATTCGTCTAGGCTCCTCATAACCTTGTCTGTGTTTGTGGTTTGTTCTCCACTGACTGTATTTAGAATAGTCTAGAATATTGTATTTGTCCATAAAATATCTATTGAATATTGTTGCAAGTACAGGGAAACAGATTGTATAGAGAGGCACACATGTGAAATTGTAGTATCCAGGATGTGCTGTGGTAAGGGAGACAGCTGAGTGGTAGTTTGGTGTCATCTTGGAAGACTGAATGGCAAACTGTAAAGTCTGTACAACTTTTCGTTTGTGACAGATGATTATGGTGGTAACATTTCCGGAATAGATGTGCCTACTTATTTATTGTTTAAAAAAAGATAATCATGGTGTCAATATGGAAGACAAGGTGGGTAGGTGGAGGATTAAAGAGAAAACCCAGTCTGGATTAGAAATAATGAAAACCCAAATGACTTAAAGTACGGTAAAATGCAGATGCAGGACTTTCTTTCTTTCTTTCTTTCTTTTCTTTTTTTTTTTTTTTTTTTTTGGTTTTTCGAGACAGGGTTTCTCTGTGTAGCCCTGGCTGTCCTGGAACTCACTCTGTAGACCAGGCTGGCCTCAAACTCAGAAATCCACCTGTCTCTGCCTCCCAAGTGCTGGCATTAAAGATGTGTGCCACAACTGTCTGACTAAAAGATTGTGTGTGTGTGTGTGTGTGTGTGTGTGTGTGTGTGTGTGATGCCATCTGAGTGTAGGTGATCCTGGAGGCTAGAAGAGGGTGTCAGATCCCCTGGAGATGGAGTTACAGGCCACTGTGAGCTGCTCAGTGTTGGTGCTGGGATCTGAACTCTAATCCTCTGAAAACAGCAAGTGATCTTAACAACCAAGCCATCTATCCAGTCCCCTTTCACCTTTTTGTTTGTTTGTTTGTTTTCGAGACAGGGTTTCTCTGTATAGCCCTGGCTGTCCTGGAACTCACTCTGTTAGACTAGGCTGGCCTCGAACTCAGAAATCCGCCTGCCTCTGCCTCCCAAGTGCTGGGATTACAGGCATGCGCCACCACCACCCGGCTCACCTATTTCTTAAAATAACCTTTTCATTTTGTAGACAGATAAACCAAAACCAATATCCTCTTCCCACCTCACTGGTGGTTCCTTTCTCTCCACACTATGACCTTGTTTTCTCGCATGCTCCGCAGGTCTGCCTCATTAAAGTTACCTAGGGCAAGAAAGTAAAAAATTGCAGACAGAAGACAAGCCATGTGTGCTGGGACCTGTAATCCCAGTACTTTTAGGACTCTTAGGCAGGAGGAATGTGAGTTCAAGGCCAGCTTGGGTTGCATTGAAAAACTCGGCTTTAACAGGACTCATTCAGTCCAGTACTCTCTGTGCAGGTGTGAAGACCTGAGTCTGATCCTCAGAACCCACACCAACAAACCAAAACCCAACAACAACAGAACTGGCATGGTGGTGTGTGCCTGGAATCCCAGTGCTTGGGGAGGTAGAGATCAAGTGGATCTCTGTCTCAGAAAGCATGGTGAGGGCTGGAGAGATTGCTCAGTGGTTAACAGCACTGGCTGCTTCTCCAGAGGACTGGGCTTAATTCCCAGCACCTAAATGGGACTTTACAACTGTTCGTGACTCTAGTTCCAGAGGACTGACATCCTCATAAATTAAAAAAAAGGGAGGGTGGGAGGGAGGGGTGGTGGTGCTGGAGAGATGGCTCAGCAGTTAAGAGCACTGACTGATCTTCCAGAGGTCCTGAGTTCAATTCCCAGCAAACACATGGTGGCTCACAACCACCTGTAATGGGCTCCAATGTTCTCTTCTTGTGTGTCTGAAGACAGCTACAGTGTACTCATATGCATAAAGTAAATTAATGAATCGTTAAAAAAAAAAGCAAGGTGGGTGGCCTCCTAAGGAATGACACCTAAGGCTGTCCTCTGGCTTCTTGTACGTGCATGTGCACATATGCACACTTGTACTCACATGCATAAACATGCAGAACAAACAACTGACAAATAAATAGCATCTCAGGTGGTTCATCCAGTCAGACACAACCAAGGCAATCTTAACTGCAGCAGTGAGTCTAAGACAGCACCCAAGAAGCACCTGATGACAGATGACTGAGCTTGCTGGAAATGCTGACCTCTGATTCCTGACCCCATATTTATTTCGTAGGTCTGAGTGGAGCCTAAGCACTAGAGTTTTACCAACACACTCTGTTGATTGCTTGGGGAAAATAAAAATGCCCTCAGGTTCTAGACCCCAACTTCTTCTCCTTGGAAGAGCTTGCTCCCCTCTCCTGTAACTGGTAAAACCTGATGTTACTAATTGTTCCAGGCTTGCCTGGAAGATCACCCCTAGGCACAGTATGTCAACTGGGCCTTGGGTGCATTCCTAAAATAGACTGCAGCAAACTAAAGTTTTCTGACCAGTCACCAACCACCATGCCACCCTATCCCCAACCTTACACTTTGTCCCTCTGAGAGTTTGAGGATAGAAGACTTATGTTAGCTTCTTGACTAAGAATTACAGGCAAATGACAAAATGACACCACAGACCAGAAAAATCACTGCTCCTAAATTAACAGGCACTATCACTAACCCAGACAAGAAAATGATCCCTCAAAAGACAAAGCTGCCTTCACTGAATCAATACCAAGGTTGGGTATTAGAATAGTTATGCAGGTTACTGTGAACATCTAAACCTGATGCTGAGGTTGTTTTTTTTTTTTTAACCTGAAATTGTAACTATATTTTAGAAGTTAGAAAATATTTCTCATCTATTGGGTTTAGAGGTCAGATTTAAGAGGTATCTTTTACATTGTTTATCACTGAGGTACGGTTTCATTTTGTTGTAATGGCTCTTCTGGAATGTTCTCAATAGAACACTCTGTCCACCTGCCTTTGCTTCCCAAGTGCTGAGAATACAGGTATGTGCCACCAGCCTGGCCTAAGAGGTACTTCTTTTTTTTTTTTTTTTTTTTTTTAAAGTTTTATTTATTTATTTTATTTATGAGTACACTGTAGCTGTCTTCAGACACACCAGAAGAGGGCATCGAATCTCATTACGGATGGTTGTGAGCCACCATGTGGTTGCTGGGATTTGAACTCAGGACCTCTGGAAGAGCAGTCAGTGCTCTTAACCGCTGAGCCATCTCTCCAGCCCGAGGTACTTCTTTTATTAAATGTGGGTATGTATTTATTTGTTAAGAGGTACTTTAAAAATAAACATTCACAGTAATTGTATACATTTATCACTCATTGTTACATATTTTATAAATCCTTCAGTTATGGGATCCAGTAAAGAAGAAAAATCTACAAGAATTTTTTTTGCAAGAGGTGCAGATGGGAAAACTTTGTTTAGCTAGAGGTAAGACTAAAACATTCTTTTGTAAGTTTTTAATCGTATCTTCCTCAAAAACTGATTAGCCAGGCATGGCATATATTTATAAAATCAGTACTTGGGAGGCAAAAGCAAGAGGATTGAGTCTGAGGTTAGCCTGGACTATTATACCATGAGAGCAAATAAAAAGGCAACATTAATACTTAATATCAGATAAATTAGCTAGCTGTGGTGACTAACTCACTTCAGTTACAAGAAGTTGTCTTAGACTTTTGACTTGGTGCTACTATCCCCATCCCGGGTATGGTAGAACATACTTGTAACCTCAAAACTTCAAGGTGTGCCAGGCTTTGGTGGCGCACGCCTTTAATCCTAGCACTTGGGAGGCAGAGGCAGGCGGATTTCTGAGTTCGAGGCCAGCCTGGTCTACAGAATGAGTTCCAGGACAGCCAGAACTACACAGAGAAACCCTGTCTTGAAAAACAAAAAACAAAAAACAAAAACAAAAAAACCCTTCAAGGTTCTGAGGTGAGAGTCCTGTGAATTTCAGGCTACTGTGGGCTACAGAATATCTCCAAAAAATAATTTAAAATACATTATAAAAGTTTTCCTGCCAGATATTGTGGTCCACACCTTTAATTCCAGCATTTGGGAGACAGAGGCAGGAATATCTAAGTCCAAGGCCAGCCTGGTCTACATGTGAGTTGCAGGATAGCCAGGGCTCCATAGAGGACCCTGTCTCAAAAAAACATCAAACCAAGTTTTTTTTGTTTTTTTGTTTGTTTGTTTTTTTTGTGTGGTGTTATTTTTTTTTTTTTTGGTTTTTCAAGATAAAGTTTCTCTGTATAGCCCTGGCTGTCCTGGAACTCACCCTGTAGACCAGGCTGGCCTTGAACTCAGAAATCCACCTGCCTCTGCCTCCCAAGTGCTGGGATTAAAGGCGTGCGCCACCACCGCCCAGCTCAAACCAAGGTTTTTGCTGACTTGAATATTCTAAATACTTTCAATGATAAAAACCATTACAAAAGGCCATTCTACTGTTTAATTTAGTGTGGGACCAAGAGGGGCCTACACTTTATGACCACAACTGTGTTTGAACTTTCACCTAACTCTGAAGAACCTCGAAACATTGTTAAAATGATTGTAGGTGATACACTCACTGGACCAATGTTGTATGTAGCAATGGTGTCTTGATTCTGGTGCTAAGTACTGCAAGGGAAAAGAATTTGGTGTGACTTAGGTAAGGAAAACCTGATAATGTTGGAGATTAAGAATTATTAAATAAAATGTATTTTCCCCAAGGTTTGCAAGCTCCCTGCATACCACAGCACTTATTTTTCTTTTAATCTATTTACGTGTTCAGTTTTTTGCCTGCACATAGGTCTGGCCTCAAAGGCCAGAAGAGGGCATCAGATCTCCTGGAAGTGGAGGTACAGGGTTATGAGCCACTATGTGGGTGCTGGGAATTAAGCCCCATACTCTGCAAGAGCAGCCAGTGCTCTTAAGCACACAGCTACCTCTCTTAGTCCCACAATGCCTGTTTTCTACTTGAAAAAATATTCTTTATTGCATTTATTGTGTGAAGTCAGAGGACAGACTGTCTTTTCTCCTCTCCTGTCTTCCCTACTGTAATTAGTTACAATTAAATTCATTAAAATTAAAATCAATTAAAATCATTTTACATTAATGATAATTTTACATTTTAATATTTTACTCTATATTGACTTTTGCTTTCAGATAGAGCCAGGGTTTTTTTGTTTTTGTTGTTTGAGACAGGGTTTCTCTGTGTAGCCCTGGCTGTCTTGGAACTCACTCTGTAGACTAAGCTGGCCTCAAACTCAGAAATCTGCCTGCCTCTGCCTTGCAAGAGCTGGGATTAAAGGCATGTGCCACCACTGCCCGCCCAGAGCCACTTTTCTTTTTTCTTTTTCTTTCTTTTTTGGTTTTTTGAGACAGGTTTTCTCTGTGTAGCCCTGGCTGTCCTGGAACTCACTCTAGACCAGGCTGGCCTCGAACTCAGAAATCCCCCTGCTTCTGCCTCCCAAGTGCTGGGATTAAAGGCGTGTGCCACCACTGCCCGGCTTGGGGTTTTTTCCTTCTTAAAAGTGGGTTATAAGTCTTTTTCATCTGAATGTATAATTCATGTTATTTTCTAAAAGTTTAATTTAACCACAGTAGCAAGAGTTTGAGGCCAGTCAAGGCTACATGGTGTGACCTTGTTTCAAAATACACAACCAAAAAGAGGGCTGGAGAAATGGTTCAGTGGTAGGAGCACTGGCTGTTCCTCCAGTAGACCTGGGTTCCATTGCTAGCACCCACGTGGTCACTCACAAGCCCTCCTCTGGCTTCTGTTGGTATCATGTATACATTTAGTGTACAGATGCACATGCAGACAAAACACCCATACACATCAAATAAATATAGTTAGAAAATGAACTGTAGCAGATGTTTCACCTCTCGTATTTTACCAATCAGACAAACATGGATGGGCAACTCATATTAATAGAAATAGACGAGATTAAAAACCTTGCATTGCCACCCTCTAGGCCCCCAATAGAGAACATTTCCAAAGTGTACTCAACTAAAATGTTGAGTAAACATTGAGTAATTTCTCTCTTAAAATTCTTCACGTGACACCCAGTGTTTTCCTTCATACTTGTGCTTGACTCATCATTGGATTTGTCTAAATTGTCATTAGTTTGATAGGCAGTTAACATTTTGTTTTGTTTTTAGACAGGGTTTCTCTATGTAGATCTGGCTGTCCTGGAACAAACTCTATAGACCAAGCTGGCCTTGAATTCAGAGATCCTCCTGCCTCTACCTCCAGAGTGTTGGGCTCAAAGGCATGCGCCCCCACTGCCCAGTGATATGCATTTGCTTGATGCTTTCTTGGTAATTTATAGAATATACATTTTAAAGAGTATCAACATCTTGCCTAAGTTCTGGAGAGATGGTGTTATCAATTACAATTCCTGTTGTTCTTCCCTGACAGAGCTTTAGTTAGCCTGTGAGAGGCTCCAGTTCTAGTCCCAGCATTCACACCAGGTAGTTCCTAAAAACCATGTGTAACTCCAGTTCTAAGGCTGCGTGTGGTGACATATATCTTAAATCCCAATATTTAGGAGCCAGAACTAGAGACCCTACATCAAAACAAAAAAGTCCAGAACTCCAGTTCGGAGTATCTGACTTCCTTTGGTGGGCTCTATGGGTACTGCACTCATGCGTATGTATACACTCATGGCTCCCCTGCTCCCCTCCTCCCACATCATTATTAAAAACAGTAACTCTTTAATTTTTTTCCCGCTTAAATATAACCAATCTGTTTCAGGGGAGCATGGAATGGCGTTTGAACATCTCACCAATGCCCTTTTAGTGTGTGGACAACCGAAGGAGCTACTGATGTTTTTCAAAAAAACACTCCCTCCTGAGGTTTTTCAGATGCTATTGTACAAAATTCCTCTTATTTGCCAGGTGAGCATGTATTTAATTATCCTTGTAAAACATAGACAGTAAATAACCGGTAAGGATGTGGACCCCTCCCTACCAAAGTTCTGAAGTAATATCTATTTCTGGTTCTATTCTTTCATTAAGGTAAGAGTGTCTTATTTTCTATGTTCTACTATAGTGAATTATGTGCTTTATTATGTGTTTTAACATTGCAGTTTTAAAGCAGAGTGGTAATTCTCACTAACGTGACAAGACAAGACATAGAAATAGCTTTAATTTAAATATACCATGGTGCCATAGCATTAGTGTGCAGAGAGAGGCAGTGTAGTGTGGTGGTGGGGCCCACAGGTACCACGGCATTAGTGTTGTATTGTGACTTTAGATTGTTAACAAATAAAATCTATTTGTAAGCTCTTTCTTTTACCAGTTTGGTTATAAAACAAAATACAAAACAAAATCAGTCATCTATTTATCCACTAGAATTTCTTGCAAACGCATGAATTTGCTTCAGTATTTATTAGCCATAGATTCAAATTTAACTCACATTCATTTTATTCAACTGGTCACATTAGTTGTATGCGTTTACACTAAAACCATTAATGTTGGAGTTGTGTGTGGTGGTGGTGGGGGCCCACAGGCACCATGGCATTAGTGTGCAGACAGCGGGCAGCCCGGGTGCATCTCCTTGCACCATGTGGCTGCTGCAGTTGGAACGCAGGTTGTCAGGCTTTGTGCCAAGTGCCTTTAGCTGCTGAGCCTCACTAATCCAGACTCTCAGTTTTTAAACAAACTGTAAGACTCCATTAGAGCATACCATATCTAGGCCGTATCTAGGCTAGATTCAAAAGGGATGTTCCCAAACGATATGTCAACTGCAGCTCGGGTAAGAAGTGCAATGTCTCATCTGACAAAAACAGCAAGGAGGAAAACTCGTGCCTTGAAATGATCAGCAAATAACTGTTTTGTGTATTCACCAGCAACTTGAGGCAGACATGTATGAACAAGAAGTACCTGAAGGACGATCCTGACAGAAAATGTCTCAGCGCATCCACACCCAGTCAGAATACCATGTTCTGTACAGTAAAAACAACTGCTCAATGATATTTTCATTTATTTTACTTTTAGTAATAAATTTTTTCTATCTCATACATGATTGGACACATATTTTGCTTTTAAAATTAACAGTCACAAAGAAAGGAACAGTGGTTTATTTTTGCAATCACGGTGACCACGTAGATGAATCTTAAGGCTTCAATAACACCGCATCTTACATTTTTACTGCACAGGAAGGCCTTCTGTTTTGACTCTTTCTGGTCAACAGTGATTTTTCTCCGGTGGTTTCCATTGGTCAGGTAGTCATGACAGATGGTGTACCATGGCTCCTGCTGTGTGTCAGGGGATTCTCCACCAGATGAATCCTCGTTCTGACTGCCAACAGCTGCTAGCAATCTTTCAGTGCAAGTCCACGCCTCAGGACCTCTCTACCGTGGTTGGCCTAGGAGTCCTGCTTTGGCTGCCAGGGCTTCATTCTGCTGAATGTGATATTCCTGAAATCTCATGGATATTCTCTGTGTCATTTTTAAATATTTCTGTAAGCAATGTTCTGAACAGGTAACCTAGAAATACAAGGGGAAGATCCAAGAGGCAACACAAAAATAAACATTTTTGTATTCTGAAGGAGCCACCACTGGAACGGTGCTTTCTTTGGGTAGATCTACAAATTGAGTACTATCCCTGCCTTACAATTTTATAGCTTTAAACTGTTTATGCTTTTACCTACTGATGAGAATTAAAGTTTATGAAGTCTCTACAGGTCTGTGGCACCAGCAACAATGGTGTGCTCTGCCCTGCCTTTTTGACAGACTAGATTTGGACGGACTTCAGTCTGGAGTAGATTTTGTTCTATGACTATTTCCTTATGTAGACTGACAATCAAACATACCCAGTAGAAGGTTTGTTCCTTTTTTATGAGAAACTTGCTTCTGGATATTTTCACTCAAAACATTTTATTTTTTTCTCTTGAGCAAAGTCTTGTTATGCAACCAAGACCGGTCTAGAATTGCAAAATCTTCTGCCCTAACCTCCCAAAGGCTGAACCTCCCCCACCCTCAACCCTTTTCTTTTTAATATCAACTGAGGTGACCCAAGCTCAGAAATACAGAATCTTCCAGGTTCTCTCTTGCATGCAGATCCTAGCCTATAACATACACCTGTGTATCTGTGAATGGGCATACATATGGGTAAAGTCCAAAGATTAACAAAGGAGACCAAAGAGAAGGTAACTATAGGTGATAAGGAAGGATGGTTTGTGGGCAAAAGGACACATCTCAGCCATGATAGAAATAATAAAGCTATTTTCTTCCAGTTTTAACTTGTTAGAATCTTTATTTTCTGGTATGTGTTATCCTCTGAGGCAGATGCTGAAGGTTAGGTTTGCTTTCCAATCCCATCAGCCACCTGTGCATCAGGAGATCACATGACTGCTCACTGGCATATCTGTCCCATTCTGAAAAAGTGACTAAAACGTGTTATGAGGAGGGTTTTTTTTTTTTTTTTTTTTTTTTCGAGACAGGGCTTCTCTGTGTAGCCCTGGCTGTCCTGGAACTCTCTCTGTAGACCAGGCTGGCCTCGAACTCAGAAATCCGCCTGTCTCTGCCTCTGCTTCCCAAGAGAACAAATGAAATGCTTGGATGGATTTGCTCTGCGATTTATGACAAATTTGGTTTTTTTTTTAGTGCATAACATTTTTCATACCTCTTCAGGTTTCACCTCTCTTGTTGTGAAGTCTTTAACACAGTCCAAAAAGCAGGTTTCCGTAAGTTTATTGTAGGTTCCCAGGAACTCCTTAAACTATAAATGAGAAGTGCTTTAAAAACCAGGCTGTAGAGCCAAGACGCTTTGAAACTCACTAATACTTAGACACACTACCCTGTCATGCTCCTTTCTTCCCCTCCTCCATGTGAATTTGTTTGCTGACTTAAGGAGCTTTAATGTACACACACGGTCTTCCCTCCTAGTTGTACTTTTCTTAACTGCTGTCCAATACATAGTTTACAGTATGTACAGTCTGGTGTCCTGGCTACTTAAGAGGCTGAAGTGCGGGATCACATTAGTTTAGAAACCCACCTGAGCAACATAACAAGATTTGGCCTCAAAAGCAAAATAAACATATACTTTTTAATATTCTTAAATATGGTTTTGGGGCATAAATGCTACACTGTTATGTTCTTTGAGTAAATATTTAAGTCATAATTCCACCACAACTATGTAGCTCAGGCTAATACTATTTTTCTGAATGGGCTTTCTAAGTGCTGGGATTACAGACATGTACTGCATGCAGGCATTACTCATGTTTGGAAATGGAACGATAAACATTTAATGTAATCACTGACTGACACAGACACAGCGGCACAGTTATTATGCAATGTTTTTTTTAACCCACCCCTACTGCCTTCTGAAACAATGTCTCCACATAGCCCTGGCTGTCCTGGAACTATATACACCAGGCTAGCCTGGAACTCTTAGAGATTGGCTGGTCTCTACCTTCTGAGTGCTGGGATTAAAGGCGTGTGCCACCATCCCTGGCTAAGATCCTTTTCCCTTAGTTAAAGTATCTTACCTGTTTTATCTGGTCAGATTCTGGTATCTGTGCAGCCATATTCTTTCAGTATGTTTATTAGTCACCTTATTTCAAAGTTAAAAAAAAAAAGTTAGCTTATAAACACATTTTTAAGCCATCTATATATATAATCTCACAGATTTTAATGACAACAGTTCTTTTTCTTATTGAGATAAGGTTTCTCTATGTAGCCCTGGCTATCCTGGAACTTGCCTGTAGAATAACCTGGTCTCAAACTCTGCCTGCCTCTGCTTTATGAGTGCTGAGATTAAAGGCCTGTGCCACCACTACTCAGCTGGCAATTTATTTTCTAATGCTAGCTATGCGACAACTCACAGGCTTTGTCTTAGTCAAATCTCCAATATTAAGACAGTGTCCTACAGTCCTGTAACAATGCTTATTAAAACCCCTATCATAGTGGGGATTTAAGGAAAACCAAGAGAATTCTTAAACTCTTCCTAATTTTCCTAACTATCCTACTAGTTGTCAATTTAACTCTAATCTGTGTTACTAATCTATGTAAAACAAAGGTTCTAGCAAATGTTGACAAACACCATTTACTCTTAACAAATCCTATTTATGATTAAACCAACACTGACTCATGAAAAATATTTAGAGTTCTCAAAGTTACAGGAGTTATGTAGTCTTTGAAATTTATCAGTTTGCCTGAATGTATGTCTGTGTACCATGTTCATGCAGTGCCCACGGAGGCTCCATGAGTCACCATACAGTTGTGAGCTGCCATGTGAGTGCTAGGAATACAACCTGGGTCTTCTGCAAGAGCAGATGGTGCTCTTACCTGATGAGCCATCTCTCTAGCCCCGAGTTATGTATTCTTTTATAAAATTGAAACTAAATAGGACAGTTACAGAGAGTTGTGAATTTGCCATGTTGGGGTGCTGGGAGTTGAACCTGGGTCCTCTGCAAGAGCAGCAGGTGCTCTTAGCCACCAACCACCTCTTCAGCCCCAGTAGTCTCATTCTGATTAAATCATGTACTACATGATAAACTTGTTCCTGCCTGATGGAGATAAAATCCCGTTCTGTCACCCTCTTGACGTCACTTTGACCATGTGTCATAGCGGCTCACTGCAGCCTCCTAGCTGCACACACTAGAACCATGAATGGAACACACACACACATACACACAAACACACACACACACACACACACGCTCACTGATTGCTACTGCTTTTTCCTCCCTAAGATGCTGGTGACGACTACTGACACTTTTGAAGTCTGACACAAGGAAAGCATTAGCTCTTCTGTACTTGCTACTCTAGCCTCATTCCACATGCTACAGCCCAGTTCTCTCTGAAGTAATGATAATGAGAAACAGAATTGTGTTTATTTCAGAGAATGCCTTAATAGTAACAGAATATAAATTATTCTTTTTAAGTGTGCCAGTTATGTAAGACTTTATGGGTATTATAAAGTGCCAGTGCCCAATCAAAGAAACAGGTCTGTACAAACATCACACAACATTTTTTTTTTTTTAAAGATTTATTTATTTCATGTATGTGGATATACTGTTGCTATCTTCAGACACATCAGAAGATTCCCATCACAGATGGTTGTGAGCCACCACATGGTTGCTGGGAATTGAACTCAGGACCTCTGGAAGAGCAGTCAGTGTGCTCAACTGCTGAGCCATCTCCCCAGCCCCACACAACATTTTTTAATAAGAGGGTGCAGATGTATTTTTTGTCAATCCATTTTCTACACACAGTTAGAAAGCTGGAATTCATATATGAAGGAAATACAAGAAAACAGAGGTATCTACCACTCCTAGGCATATACCCAGAAGATGCTCGAACATATAACAAGGGCATATGCTCAACTATGTTCATAGCAGCCTTATTTATAATAGCCAGGAGCTGGAAAGAACCCAGATGTCCTTCAACTGAGGAATGGATTCAAAATATGTGGTATATTTACACAATGGAGTATTACTCAGCTATTAAAAACAATGAATTCAAGAGGTTCCTTGGTAAATGGATGGAACTAGAAATTATCATCCTGAGTGAGGTAAGCCAATCACAAAAGAACACACATGGTATTCACTCACTGATTATTGGATATTAGCCCAGAACCTTGAAATGCCCAAGATACAACTCACAGGCCACATGAAGTCCATAAAGAAGGAAGACCAAGTGGGGGTGATTCGGTCCTTCTTAGAAGGAGCAACAAAATACTCAAGGGAGCAAATATGGAGACTAAGGCGAGGGACAAAAACTGAAGGAGGGGCTGTCTGAAGACCTTTCCACCTGAGTATCCATCCCATGTGCAGTCACCAAAGGTAGATGCTGATGTGGAAGTCAGGAAGTGCATGCTGATAAGAGCCTGATATGGATGTCTCCTCAGAGGTCTTCAAGAGTCTGACATATTCAGAGGCAGATGCTCACAACTAGCCATTGAACTGATCATGGGGTTCTCAATAGAGGAGTTAGAGTGAAGACTGAAGGAGCTGAAAGGATTTGCGGCACCATGAGGAGAACAATAATACCAACCAACCACAGCTCCCAGGGTC